AACCTTTGTTCCAGGAAGAAGCAAATAGCCCCAAGACCATCCTATTGGGGGCTGGATATGAAGACAGATTGCACATGCATGGCAAAGAGGAGGCTGGCGCCCACAAACTGGAAATTTTGAAACCTACATAAATCACCAGTAGAATCACGGATGTAAGTGGGAAGGGACTGGACAAGGGGAGAAAAAAAAATGAGTCAAGATAGCAAGAACTAAGTTGAGTTGGCAGAAACAATGGGTTTGCCTGGGCATCCCTATTTATGGATTTTCAGAAGAAGGTAGAAGTGGGCTGTTGAGGACGACGAGCTAGGAGGCTTGCGGGGGGTGGGGTGGGGGGGTGCGGGTGGTGGTTGCGGTGCTGCAGGTTCCCCAAATGAGATATGGTTAGTGACAGTCGTGGACACAATAGTCTGATATTTGATGGTGTGGTTGTGGTCTGGAAGGGATTGTAGGTGTCTGAGAACTGCTGCCCATCCTGTATAGGTCAGTATGACAGACAACAGCTCCACTCTCGTCAGCAGGCTCCATTACAGGGTTGGATCTGACAGCAGAGTGCAGTCAGTTCAGAGGGAGACAGGTTCAATGTCACGTCAACATTTCTCGATGAACAGGTCGAGTGCAGGTAAAAGGCCCAAGGGAGGGGACCATGTGGAAGGAGTATGTTGGAGGGTGGTGAAACAGTCTGTGGAATGGGAAGATGACTCTTATATGCAAAAAAATTAGTGTGGAAGCAAAGATGAGGGATGAAGAGTTCAACATCATGTCATGCCTGAAATTCATTGAGGTGGAGGTGCAAAGGGCTAAAACCTTTGCTGAGTACAGAATGTTCAGATCCAACAGCAGAAGTCAGAAAGCATAGATACCTGACAAGGGGTGGAGTTTAGAAAAGGGAGGGAGTCTGAGGAAGGTGAAGGGGGAAAGGTTCCAGAGGGGCATTGGTTCTTCGGTGTTGTTGTAGTTTGCATTCCTTAATGGCTGAAAACAGAAGTTTCTTGTCAGAACACTGAATGAGCTAAAGAATGAAGTGGAACTGATGTTTGGCGGGGGGAGGAGACAGCAGAACATCTCTGAGATAGCCTGAGGCAGTGCAAATGGAGCGAGGGGTTCAACGTGCATATGATGTGTATCAGCCTGATAATGTCACCTTCTGAGCCGCAGGAGTTTGAGGAGGGGGGGGGGGGGGGCGTGGACTCAGGAACATCGACCCCCTCTTTCCTCAAAAATTGAAGGATTCCCTGCCACGATGCTTGATAGGGCCCTTAGCCGTGCCTGATCTCCTCTCACACTTGTGCTTTCATCCCTTCTCTTCCCTCCCATAACACTAATCAGGTTCACTCTTGTACTCACTTTCTTCTCCGCCAGCCTTCGCGTCCAAAGGATCATAAGCTGCCATTTCAGCCATCTTCGGCAAGTTGCCACAGCAAGAGACAAATTCACCTTCCCCCTTGTCAGAATTCCACAGGAAGGGTTCCCTCCAGGAAACCTGGTCTTCTCCTCCGACACATAGCCTCACAACACCTTACCGTGCAAATGAAGAAGGTGCAACACTTGTCTGTTTACCTCCTCCCTCCTCACTAACCAAGGGCCTATCTAGGTGAAGCAGTACCTTATCTTCACTCAATCTAGTTTCCAGTAATTGCTGCTCATAGTACGGTCTCCTCTACAATGGGGAGATGAAACGTAGACTGAATGACTGCTTTACGGAACACCTATGTTCTGTCTGTAAAAATGATCACAAGCTTCTAGCTGCCTGCCACTTCAACACACTACCAAGTTCCCATGCCAACATTTGTCTCATGCCTGCTGCAGTGCTCCAGCTAAGCTGAATGCAAGCTGAAAGAACAACACCTTCTTTTCTGCTTGGGGAACTTTCAGGCTTCAGGACTCCATATTGAGTTTAATAATTTTAGAGCATGAACACCTCTTTCCATGTCTATTTCCCACCCCCACACCCCCATCTCTGTCATGACATAGGTTGCTTTCAGCACAGCCAATCCATTTCACCTATTCATAAAGAAACCCTCATTAGCACCCATTTAGCCTCTTCTTCCCTAGCTTACTACCAATCTCTTTGCTGGTCTAACTTCTTTTCCCTTCTCTCTGGGGTTTGTCTCCATCTAGCCACCTCATCAGTATTAAAACCACCTTTTCCTAGCTATCAGTTCGAATTAGGGTCACTGGACTTAAAGCACAACTCTGTTTCCTCTCCACAGGCACTGCAGACTTGCTGAGTTTCTCCAGCAATTTGTTTTTGTTGTAGATCTCTAGCATCCACAGTTCTTTATTGTATTATTAATGACCTCATATTAAAAGGATTTGGTAGGAAAGAGCAAACAACATGATAGCTTTTACTTTTAGTGGAAAGTGAGAAATGTGGCTTAGAAATTAGAGTCTTAAACTTAAATGATGGTAACTCGAACAGTATGCGGAACAAAGGATGAAAAGGTAAGACTGGGAAGCAATGGATATTTAAGGTGGTATTTCATAATTCTTTGTAAAGGGATGTCACAAGTAGAAAATAATTGTCAAGTTCCCCAAGAATGTAATATTTAAGGTGGATTAAATAGGTATCAACCTATATAGTGTAATCATATTTCCAAAAGGCATTCAATAAGGTGCCACACTAAAAGGTAACTGCACAAGTTAACAGCTCAGAGTATGTGTGGTGAGGGGGTCATAGCGTTACAGAGCCATACAGCATAGAAACAGGTCCTTCGGCCCATCTTGTCTATACCAACCAATAAAGACCAAACTACACTAATCCCATTTACTTGCACTTGATCCATTGTCTACTATGCCCTGCCATTTTAAGTACTTATTCAGATGGTTCTTACTTGTTGTAAGAGTACTTTGCCTTTAACATCCACTCAGACAGCATGCACCACATATTTCACCCGCTGGGTGAAAATAATTTCTCTCAGATCTCCTCTAAAGATGGCTTGCACCTCACCTTACCCATATACTCTCTGGTCTTAGACACATCTGCCATGGAGAAATATACTCACCATCTACTCTGTCTATGGCTCTCATAACTCTGCATACTTCAAATCAGATCACCCCCCAGCTTCCACTGCTCCAAAGAAAACAAACCCAGTCTTATCCAGTCTGAAACTGAAACTTTTCACCCCAGGCAATATCCTGGTCAATCTCCTCAGCACCCTCTCCAGTGCAATCATGTCCTTCCAATAGCGTGGCAACCTGAAATGCACAAAGTATTCAATCGGTGGCCTAAACAAAATTGTGACAAAGGTCGGTAAGCTCAGTTGGTTGATTTATGATATCCTCAACTATTTACAATCTATGTTAATGACTTGGGATGAAAGGGTATACTATTATAGTCAAATTTGCAGACAATACAGTTGGTCAGGAAAACAAAATGTGAGGAATATATAGACTCTATAATAAAGATTGGCTAAGCAGGTCAGCAAAAATTTGGCAATGGAGTATAATGTGGAAAAATATGAAGTTATCCACTTTAGCAGAAAAATAGAAAAGCAGACTATTATTTATGTAGATGTGGCAGAATGGTACAAATCAGAGGGCGTTGCATATCAATGTACTGAAATCACTAAAAGTTAATGTGCAAGTTCAACAAGGAATTAGTAAAGTAAGTGGAACACTGGCATTTATTGCAAGGGGGAGGGAACTTCAACTGCATAAAGCATTGAACACACCTAGAGTTGTGTGGACAGTTCTGATCCCTTTACTTAAGGAACACACGTACTTTGGAATCACAGTGAACTGGTTCCCTCGATTTATATGTGGGATGAAGGGGTTGTTAAATGTGCGAAAAAAATGTGAGCAATATGGGTCTTATAAATCACTGAGGTGGAGAAGAATGAAAGGTGTGAAGTGTTCATTTTAATAGGAAGAGGTAGGAGTAATAATACAAAACAAAGGTTAGAATTCGAAACAGGTTGCAGAAGGAGACAGGCCTATTTATATACATCAATTATTGAAGATGGCAGGTCAGATTGAGAGTGTGGGTAATAAAGCGTAGGAATAAAAGTAAGGAATTTATATCAAATATACATAGAATATACAGCTTCAATTGGATTTTTATCCAGTTCTTGGCACCACATATTAGAAAAGTTGCAAAGGCATTAGAAAGAGGGAAGAAAATGTTAATGAGAATGGCCCTGGATTGAGGAATTACAGTAATGTAGATAAATCAGAGGAAATGAGCCATGGAGAAGAACAGATTATAGAGATATTCAAAATTATGACGGGTCTGTAGAGTGTTGCCAAGGAGGAATGGTTTCTGCTGGCAGAAGGATTGAGAACAAGAAGGCACACTTGAAGACGAACCTCTTTCACAAAGTAGCTGGTTAGGATCTGGAATGTTCTGACAGTGTGATGGAGGCAGGTTCAATTGAGGCATTCAAGTGGGATTTGGATTGTCATCTAAAAGAAGAAGATTATGCAAGGCCTCGGGGAGAAGGCAGGGCAACTGGATAAATTATTCCTGCAGAGAACAAGCACAGACATAATGGAGCAGATACTCTTCTTTTATACTATAACAATTCTACTGTTTTGTGGCTTTATTGATTCTGAAGGAATCTGACACAATAGAAGCTGGCAGATTTCTCTCCTCATGGTCAGATCTGGAACATGGAGACAAAGTTCAAAAATAAGGGCTCTTTCATTTAAGATGGAAGCGAGGAGGAATTCCTTCTTTCAGACATTTGTTGGTCATTGTCATTTTTATCCACAAAGAGCATTGGAGGCTGGGCTACTGAGGCGATTAAGTTTAAGGTAGATGGAGTTTTGATCAACAAGGGATTCAATGGCAAGGGAGACATGCTTGGCTCAACACTAAAAATCAGGATTTGTGTACTCAAGGCGAAGTGGGGCTTGAATCCTTGACTAAGCCTAGCTAAAAACAAGTAACATTACTTCAGTTGTTAGTCCCTTGAGAATGATGTAAACACTCAATTCAGATATTTTTTAGGCTGATGTAATAACTTTCACTTACCTTACATTACTGACAAATTCCATCTTACCTTTCATAAACAGGAAACTGTGAAAATATGGCAGACTGACACAACTGTAAATGGAATCTCGACGGTAGGCCAGCTCCTCATTGTTGTCAAATCTTGAATCCAAATCATCATCATCACTCTCTTCAAACTGCAGTAAGGAAAGATAACTTTTTAATGTTAGATAATAATGAGAAGAGCTCTTTTTTAAATTAAGAAACAAACATATACAAATAAAAAAAATTAAAGATAATACATAGAAAATGCATTTCAAACCAGGCCAGTGCAGCACAGGGATGCTTCACTGTGGCTGGCTTCGTATGGCATTACAATTAGCTGTGATGGAAGTCTGACTCTGTCACACTGACATTAGCCAAGAACCACTACAACTGCTATGCTCAAAGCGAATCACTGATGATCTGGTACAGGTCATGAATACAAATCTACCAGAGCAATGTGTATAATACATGTTTATACAATTCAATCTTCCATCACCCTTCTTCATTAGGATAATACTAATTATATATTTTGGGTACATATCAAGTGTTTAAATATTTCCAAGCTGACCCCTAAATGGTCTCTAATTCCAAATCTGAGCAGAGCTGAATGCAGAATCTAAGTGACAAAAAACATTATACTCAACTACAGAGAAAATAAAAGTATAAATAAACACTCAAATAATTATTAGGCATCTGAAGAGAGTAACTTAATCCCATAAAACTAATAGAGGACCTAGAAGGCCTCACTGCACTCAACTCCCTGATAGTTCAAAAATCTATTGACTTCTTCTTTAAATACTTTCATGATGTAGCCTTCACAATTCTCTGGGGTATAGAATTCCAGATGCTCACTACCCTCAAAGAAATTCTTTGCCATTTTAATTGTATAAGACCATCCTCCTATTCTGTAACCTAATTTTCTATTCATTCTGCTTAAGTGTATAATTTCACTTTTTTTCACATTGTCAGTGAGGAAGAAATCTTAGGTTACAGGAAGATAAAAACAGATTGGTCAGATGGGCAGATCATTGGCAGATGGATTTTAATCCTGATAAGTGAGAGTTTGGAAGTTTAACACTTTGGAGGACGTAACAAGACAAGGGAGCAATCAATGAATGATAGGACACTAGAAGGCTCGGGGTAACAGAGGGATCTTGGGTGCTTATCCACAAATCCCTGAAAGTTTAATAAGAGATTTAAGGTGGCATTGGGAAGCTTGTCTTTATCAGAGAATCCCTCAATGTGGACGCAGGCAATTTGGCCCACTGAGTCCACACTGACCCTCTAAAGAGCATCCTAACCAGATTCACACCCCTACCCTATCCCAGTAACCCTGCATTTCCCATGGCTTATCCACTTAGCCTGCACATCCCTGGACACCATGGGCAATTTAGCATGCCAATCCACCTAACCTGCACAACTTTGGAGGGAGGAAACGAGCATCTGGAGGAAGTCTACACAGACGCAAGTAGAATATGCAAATTCCACACAGACAGTGGCCCCAGGGTGGAATAGAAGTCAGGTCCCTGGCACTGAGAAGCAGCAGTGCTAATCACTATGTTGCCCATATCAGTTGATGCTGAGCTTATAAGAGCAGGGAGGTCATGCTGGAGTTGTATAGAATATTGGTTAGGCTACGGCTGAACAGTTTTGGTCACTGCACTATAGGAAAGCTGTGATTGCACCAGGGGGAGTTCACAGGAGATTCACCATGATGTTGCCTTGGATGGCGTGCTTTAGCTATGAAGTGAGGCTAGGTAAGCTGGGATTGTTTTCCTTGGAGCAAAGAAAGTTGAGGGGTGACCCTGAAATAATGAGGGGCACGGTCAGGGTGAATAGGGAGTATCTGTTCCCCTTTGTCAAATGATCAATAACAAGGGGGCACACTTTTAAGATGAAAGGCAGGAGGTTTAGAGGGGAGCTAAGGAAAAACATTTTCACCCAGAGGGTGGTAGGGGTCTGGAATGCATTGCCTGAAAGGCAGGCATAATTTGGGAGGCAGGAAACCTTACAACCTTAGTTTTGGTGGTACTGATTCAATGGGCCAAAGGGCCTCTTTTATTACTGGATATTTCTATGGTTTTAAAAGTTTGTCCCCAAGTTCAAGATTCACCCCTAACAGAAAAATCTTCTCAACATCTCCCCTAACATACCCTCTCAGAATCAATTTCAATAAGAAAACTTATTCTTATTCTCCTTACCCATTTGGCCGTTCTTGCTAAGTTCAGCTCAGGAATCAGCCTAATGAATCTCTATGAACCACCTCCAATGCAAGCATATCTTTTCTTAAATAGGAGGATCAAAACTGAACACAGCACTCAAGGTGCAGCCTCTCCAACATCCTATCCACTTGCAACAACTTTTCCCCACTTTTAAAATCCAAACCCTTTGTTATAAGGAGCAAAATTCTATGTACCTTTTTAATTACTTGCTGTACCTTAACTTCTTATGATTAAATCACAAAAATACCCAGATCCCACTATGCTCAGTAAAGGGCTCACCTTTGTCCCCCTCCACCCTAACATCAACGAATACCGCTCACGCTTGGGACATTGAACAGTTTTTCCGCCGCCTCCGCCTCCGTGCTTACTCCTTTAACCCTCCCTCTACTGACCCCTTCTCCCGCCTCCAACACACCTCCTCCTCCTCCTGGACACCACCCCAAGGCCTCTTACCCTCCCTCGACCTCTTCATCTCCAACTGCCGTTGAGACATCAATCGCCTCAACCTCTCCACCCCTCTCACCCACTCCAACCTCTCCCCCACAGAACGTGCAGCCCCCCGCTCCAATCCCAACCTCACCATAAAACCCGCGGACAAGGGAGGCGCAGTTGTAGTATGGCGCACTGACCTCTACATCGCCGAGGCCAAACGCCAGCCTCTCTGACACCTCCTCCTACCGCCCCCTTGATCTTGACCCCACTCCCGACCACCAAAACATCATCTCCCAAATCATCCACAACCTCATCACTTCAGGTGATCTCCCACCCACAGCTCCAACCTCATCATTCCCCAACCCCACACCGCCTGCTTCTATCTCCTTCCCAAAATCCACAAACCTGACTGCCCTGGTCGACCCATTGTCTCCGCCTGCTCCTGCCCCACCGAACTAATCTCTACTTATCTCGACTCCATTTTCTCCCCCTTGGTCCAGCAACTCCCCATCAATGTCCATGACACCACTCACACCCTCCACCTCCTCCAAAACTTCCAATTCCCTGGTCCCCAACACCTCATCTTTACCATGGATGTCCAGTCCCTACACACCTGCATTCCCCATGCAGATGGCCTAAAGGCCCTCCGCTTCTTCCTGTTCTGCAGGCCCGACCAGTCCCCCCCCACTGACACCCTCAGCCAAACTTGTCCTTACCCTCAACAACTTCTCTTTCAATTCCTCCCACTTCCTACAGACAAAGGGGGTGGCCATGGGTACCCACATGGGCCCAAGCTTTGCCTGCCTCTTTGTAGGGCACGTGCAGCAATCCCTCTTCCGTAGCTACACTGGACCTAAACCCCACCTCTTCCTCCATTACATCGATGACTGTATCAGCGCCACCTCGTGCTCCCATGAGGAGCTCGAACAGTTCATCCGCTTCACCAACACCTTCCACCCCAACCTTAAGTTCACCTGGACCATCTCTGATACCTGTCTTTCCTTCCTGGACCTCTCTGTTTCCATCTCTGGCAACCACCTGGAAACCGATATCCATTTCAAGCCCACCGACTCCCAGCTATCTCCCTAGAATACACCTCCTCCCACCCACCTTCCTGCAAAATGCCATCCCCTATTCCCAGTTCCTTTGCCTCCGCCGCATCTGCTCCCAGGATGAGGCAATCCACTCCCTAACATCTCAGATGTCCTTGTTTTTCAAGTACCACAACATCCCCCCCTCAGTGGTCGAGAATGCCCTCGACCATGTCTCCCGCATTTCCCGCAACTCATCCCTCACACTCCCTCCCCGCAATAACAACCAAAACAGAATCCCCCTCGACCTCAGCTACAACCCCACCAACCTCCGGATCCAATGCATCATCCTCCGACACTTCCGCCATCTGCAATCTGACCCCACCACCAAGGACCCTAACCCTATCTTTCCCTCCCCACCCTTATCTGCTTTCCAGAGGGACCAACTCTCTCCGTGACTCCCTTGTCCGCTCCACACTCCCCTCCAGCCCCACCACACCCGGCACTTTTCCCTGCAACCGCAGGAAGTGCTACACCTGCCCCTACACCTCCCCCCTCACCCCCATCCCAGGCCCCAAGAAGACTTTCCACATCAAGCAGATGTTCATCTGCACATCTGCTAATGTGGTATCCGGTATCCGCTGTTACCGTTGTGGCCTCCTCTACATCGGGGAAACCAAGCTGAGGCTTGGGGACCCCTTTGCAGAATACTTACCCACGGTTCGCACTAAACAACTGCACCTCCCAGTCGCGAACCATTTCAACTCCCCCTCCCATTCCGCAGACGCCATGTCCATCCTGGGTCTCCTGTGGTGCCACAACTATGCCACCCGAAGGTTGCAGGAACATCACCTCATATTTCGCTTGGGAACCCTGCAGCCCAATGGTATCAATGTGGACTTCACAGGCTTCAAAATTTCCCCTCCCCCAACCGCATCCCAAAACCAGCCCAGGTTGACCCCGCCTCCCTAACCTGTCCTTCCTCCCACCTATCCCCTCCTCCCACCTCAAGCCCCACCCCCATCTCCTACCTACTAGCCTCATCCTGCCCCATTGACCTGTCTGTCCTCCCTGGACTGACCTATCCCCTCCCTAACTCCCCACCTACACTCACATTTACTGGCTCCACCCCCACCTCTTTGACCTGTCTGTCTCCTCTCCACCTATCTTCTCCTTT